CGGGGCACGGAAATGGGTTTGAAAATGAACTAAATTAAAGATATTATGCGACAACAAACGACATGCCACACACACACACACACACAGACACACACACACTCAATTGCTGGGCCCACATCAAGAGCTCCAGTCCGCAGCCCACACACAAATGCAAATGCCAGAGACAGCGCCAACTGCTGAGGCTGTTGCTGCGGAGGAGTATGCTAAGTGAATGGGTTGCTGAATGCCTTATGTGCACTGCCAGAAATTCACACAGATCATATGCCTGGTGGAGATGCCGAGAGAAACGTAAACCCCCAAGACAGTGTTTAGTTTCGGTTTAGAATCATCTTCGGGGGAGATCATCTGACTGTTAACTTTATTACCTGGACGGCGACACACATTGGGCACAAAAGTATGTGGGCAGGCAGGTAGCAGCAGCAACAACAGACATCTATCTCTTGGTTGCTGCCGCTGTTGCGCTCCCATTGCCAAATTTGGCAACTTGTTGTGGAGCAACCAGCCAACAGTTAAAAGCCAAGAGGCAGCAGCCGCAGCAGCAGTAACCAAGTAAGTGGCACAAATGTATTTTTATTTATCTCTCATTTTTTTCTTGCTTTTTTTGTTCCCCCTGTTTTTCTGTCGTTTCATTCCCGCATCAAAACGGACGCCCACGGACGAGCAAACAAAAGACTTAGGCAACGAACTTGCCGGCCCATATCCATGGACAGAAACCAACGCAACGGAGAAGAAGAACACAGGGAGAGAGACGAACGCAGCCCAAGCGGCTAATGAGCCGCATGTAAAGCAGTAAAAAATTATATAAACATTAATTATGAACATACAATCTTTGTTCCGTTTCTCATTGCTGTTGTAGGCGTTCGTAAATGAAATGAAAATACCAAGACTTTTCTCCAGCTCTGTAACTCAAGTAGAAAGATCCAGAGCTGCCTGCTGTGAAAATGATAAGTTATAGAGAGTTTTGAAGGAGGAAAGTGTGACCGAAAAAAAGCAACGACAAAGCGCTAATTGCGCGTAAAACCGAGCAGCAGCATGGCCTCCGTGTGTGGGTTTATTTTGGGTGCTGAATGAACCTCACCCAACCGTCTGGTGCGTAGGTTGAGCAAACTCCCCCTCCGTTGTTGCCCATGAAATGTAACGAAAGATGAGACAAACGCAACGCAAGAGATGACTTCGAGTTGATAGGAAAAACATTATAATTTCCGACACGCAGCGGCCAGCGGCGACTTACTCTGATTATGCCTAAGCCGAACCGCAGTCAATTAGAGTGTTATTATTAGATTAAAAGCCGCTAAGTTCTCCGGCACACGAAGGGGCAACAGCCAAAAATGGCCAAATGTATTTCACGACTATTTTCGACTATGCCATTCCAAGGCAATCTGTTTGTCTGTCTGTCTGTCTGTCTGTCCCAGCTCGAGATCTACAACATAAAACGCTGTGTGGGCGGGCAGCTTTTATTTGCGTTTTTGTGGAAACTCACCTTAGCTTGGGCCACATCTTGCTGGTTGCTGACAATGTCCGGAGATAGTGTGCCATGGTTCTTCTTTATCAGCGTGCGAAACTTAAACAGAGAGCAGGCAGGCGATCGCTGGCAACGTTCATAGAACAATAAACAGCATTAACCTGGCCTCTACCTGGCACTGGAACTGGCGCTGGCACTGGGCCCTGACACACACAAACACACAAACACGAAAACGAAAACGAAAACACAACGCGGCTGTCTTCTGCCTTCTGCTCCAGAACGTATTTAGAATGCGATAAAGATCTTTACGGTGCACCGACGCCCAGGGAGCGACAGCGGCAATAAACGAATGAAATGGGACGTCAGTTGACACCGCTAGAGCTGGAGCTGGAGCTGGACAGAAGGCTCACACACACACAAATGTGCACACACAGACACGCGCGGGCACAGTCGAAATTAAAATTTCATTCATGAAAAAGTACCGATCGACGGAGCGAGTCGGAGTGCAAGTAGAATAATAGTCAACTGAAAGAACCGGAAACGGATGCGAATCCGACGCTGTTGATGTTTGTCTTGCCCCCCGCCAGGATTCCAAGAGTTTTGAGGGATGATGACACAGACAAAGACGCTGATGGGACGGTCAGGTAGGCTGTGTGGCACTCGCGATCATAAATTGGCTGACAACTGGCAACGACCGTTCTTTGTCAAATTTGCATTTTTCACATTTGCCACTCGAGACGAACGTTGGCTGCATGCGGCAACAAGCTGCACACCGACAGTGAGGGGGACACAGAGACGGAGGAACTGAACGATGCCACGAACTGAACACGACCACGTCTGAAAGTCGACTGAGCGGCCTACGCTCAGGTAAGGCGGCTCGAGTCGCCACCAGAATGATTTCGTATGCGTTGTCTGGGCCGCGCATCTGGATGGGTGTGTGTGTGTGTGTGACTGGGTGTTTGCCTTCGCATTCGGTCGATTCATTCACAAATACTGGTCCGGTCTCTGGTATCTGGTCTGTTCGCTGACGTTGTTGACTTCGGCTGAGTCAGGCCTCTGCCTCCGCCTCCGCCTTCGCCTTCGCCTGCAGTGTGGCACTGTGTGGGCAGAGGCATGGAATTGTAAGAGTACATATCCACGCGGTTCAACTTAATTCTTATTTTTCGCTTGCCAAAGATCGCGGCCCAGAGCCGCATTGGACTGCAGGCTTAACCCAAATACTGGCCGCCACTAGCTAGCCGACTGGCCATCGACGGTGTCTGCAAAAGAAATGCTGGATGGAAAATAAATCACGCAGCGGAAAAAGTTCTCACACTCGACATGGCATCTGGCATGACCATCGCTGGCCGTGGGCTATTTGATTTTCACATTGAATGTGCCGCAAAACAATTTTCTTGTTTATCCATTTATTCCCCAAGCGGACTGGGAGTAGCGCAATGCACAAATATGGACAGTGGAAAACGGGTTACAATGATTAGCACGACGCACACACGTCTGCCTGCTTCGTCGGCGTCATCACTGGCAGTAGCAGGAGCAGACGAACCAGCCACTGGGGCAGCATTAGATCTTCGTGGTAACGGAGAGCGTTAACTTAATTAATTTGTGCTATTGTCCAGGGTTTCCGTCTTGAGGGGCGCCATCGAGGGCGGTATGTTCAGCGTCTGCAATGATTAGGAGAAACAAATTGCTGGCATAAATGTGCATTGCATTTTGAATCATTTACTCACCTTGCCCGGACAAGCAGCCTCGTACTGATGCTTCAGACTCTCCATCTCGTAGATGCAGGTGGACAGGGCCGTGCGCAGCTCACAAAGCAAAACCATGTCGGAACGTAGCTCATTAAAGGCTGTGCATATATCCTCGGTGGGCGGTGGCGCGGGATCTGTAAAGAACAATACAGTTAGCAAATGCAAGCCAAGGTCCCAGTCTAATTGAACTTACCAACTTTGAACTCTTGTATGGCCTGCTCGAGAGCCTTCACCTTGCGCTGGCCAATGTTGGCAGGCAACTTCATCTTTTGCGACCGCAACGAGACACCGGATCCACGCAGATCGGCAAACTTGATGCCGCTGCTGCCTATTTCGATTGCATTCACCACCGAGTCCACCTTCGAGGGCCGCGGCTGATGGTGCACCTTCTTCTTGTGCAGTTTCTTTTCGTATTTGCGAGTGCTGGGCGTGCTGGAGGCATGCTCATTCTGCTGATCCGCCTGCGAGATGAGTTTCTGCAGATCCTGCGTTTTGCGCTCACGCTCCTTTTTGCGGGCCTCGATCTTCTTCATCTCATTAATGAGGATCTGCTCCTCCTCCACCTCCGTAGGGGTGCGCTTGAACAGTTTCTCAAGCTGCTCCTTGCGACGCCGCTCGTGCTCCGGATCATACGAATAAACTTTCTTTTCGATGGTCTGATTCTTGGCTTTGGCTAGCAGTGCCACCACCTCGTAATACCGCTCCTTGAGCTCCTCCACAGTTTTGGCGCCGTGCTGATGATGGTTCCATCGATCCCTCATCACAATAAACCGAAGATCGAAGCTGTGACAAGACTTGGTCAATGAAATACTTTTCCAATGGCTAATTCAAATTATTTACCGTCTTGCCAAGTCAAAGAGATGGTCCGTCTGCACCTTGCTCCAGTTGGTTATGTTGTTCCTTAAGTGCGCATTGTACTCCGTCATTGTGTATGTGGGGATTTCCAGCTGTACGTTGAAATTGGCAAACGGATACTCTCCCGAATCGTCGCTGACCCTTTTCCAGTGGTGAAAGGCGGCTGAATCGGTGCGCGCCGGGTTGGTAAACGGAGCCCACTCCCATTTGCGCACCTTCTTCATCCCCAGCCGCGCCTTGGTCTGCTTGTAGCCGCCGCCAATGCCCAGAGCAGTGTCTGTGGGCAGCAGCGGCGGGGCATCTTTCTTGTCTGTGTAGAGCAGGGCGAATACCTCGCGGTTCATGCCCTCGGGTCGCCGCGAGGCATGTTTGGTGCTGGCGAGTATAGTTTTTATACAGAAAATGTTCATTAAACTAGAAGAATATTATTGTTTACCGTTCGAAGTTGCGCTTTTTTGTTGCCAGAAAGGAATCCTTTGTCACTTCGGGCGTATTGGCACGCTCCATGTCCAGAATATCACGTACATCGGCCGACATTTTGCCTCCTTACTGTTAATTATTAATATGATTTATACTTATATATCTTGTTTGTTTTTTTCGTAAAAATTTGCGAAAATCGCTACAATTGCCCAATGTGACTGGAAAAGAAATGCCTACAAATCGCACTATTGTCTTTTACAAAATACCGAAAATACATATTTTAAATACCGCAGGTCTGAACATCCGCCATATTTTCTTTCCACTTACTTTTGTACGTAATGCAATAAAAGGAAGTCATGAAAGCCTGTCAATCTCATGGACAATTGACTCATCAATTATATACAGTTATAGTTTCAGGGCAGCGAGTCTTTACTAGATAGTAATTTATAGCAGAAAATTAAAATCGTGGAATATGATTCTAATCTGTATATTCACGGTATATTTTATCGACAAATCGGCGGTCACACTGCACTACATTCAACGTGCTCAAAATAATTATGTTGTTTTTCTGCCCATCGTGCGGCAATATATTGATAATTGAAGAGGATACTGTTAGCCACCGCTTCACATGTAACACCTGCCCATACATATCGAAGATCACGCGTAAGATATCAACGAAAACCTTTCCCCGCTTGAAGGTAAGTCCACACATTTGATGATGCAATTTAAGTTTCTGAGAGATGTATTAATAATGCTTGACTCTCCGTTCTCTCAGGAGGTGGATCACGTTCTGGGCGGCAAGGCGGCGTGGGAAAACGTTGATTCGACGGACGCGGATTGTCCCTCGTGTAGCCACAAGAGAGCCTACTTTATGCAAATTCAAACTCGGTCGGCGGATGAGCCCATGACCACATTCTACAAGTGCTGCAACCACCAGTGCGGGCACAATTGGCGGGACTAATGCGCTACCCACACACGCTGCTTATCAGTCGTCTCCTTGGGCAACAAGCCCACCCCAGATTCAGCACAATGCAGCCCCAAACAGCGGAGAAGAAGACTACAGTGTGTCAAGTAGAGGATAGAGCCGCTCTAAAGGTAGCGCGGCAATGCCTGTTGGGTGGCCAGGTGATAGCACTGCCCACAGACACTGTCTACGGGCTGGCATGCGATGCCAACAACGAGCATGCCATCCAACGCATGTACGAGATTAAGGGGAGAGACGAACACAAGCCTGTGGCCATCTGCGTTAACAATATTGAGGCGCTGCGTCGCTATGGTCAGGCCGCCCACCTCAGCGACGAGCTGCTAACTCGTTTGCTGCCGGGCCCCCTGACCATTGTGATTGAGCGGACGCCCGAGTTGAGCAATCGTTTCCTGAATCCCAGCACCTCCAAGATAGGCATCCGCATTCCGGACTTCAAGTTCATACGCGATCTGTGCTCTGTGTGGCACGAGCAACCGCTTGCCCTGACCAGTGCCAATCGCTCCAGTGCCCCCAGCAGCCTCCAGGTGACCGAGTTCCGTTCGCTGTGGCCCCAGCTTGGCGCCGTCTTTGATGCTGGTCAGATTGGTCTTACCGAGGAGCGTCGCCTGGCGTCTACTGTGATTGATCTGGCCACGCCAGGCTACTATGAGATCGTACGTGCTGGTGTGGCCCTCAAGCAGACCCTGCGCTTGGTGGAGAAATATGGCATCAAGCCTCGCCAGGACATTGGCCAAATACTATAGAAGGATCGGTTCACCGATGCAGTATCTTTCGTCTTTAATTAAACTATTACTTTATTTGGTTTAATTCTTAATTTTGAACATCCTGCCTGGTCTTGCTTGGGGTAAGGGGGAACCGCAACGTGGGATTAAAAAATATATACATTTGTACATACATCGTTGGATGTACATGCTTGGAACTATCATCGAAAAGACTCCCTAACTCGTCAGTCTTCTAGCCTCGGCCTAATTGTAGTGGCTCGTCTTGGCCACTTGAATGGGCGCTCGTCGTCTGGGCAGCTCGTTCTCCAGCAGTCGCCAACGTTCTGGAGGCCACACGATTGCTACCGCCTTCGCCGTCATCAGACCCAGGGCCACAGGCCCGAATGAGTTGCTGTCCATGGAGTGGCCCGTGTGATCGCCCTCCACCCAACAATGGCCCTGTGGGATGCTCACTATCTCATCGCGGTAGCCTATCGTGGAAACCACATCGCCCTGCAGTCCCACCACCCGTTTGATGATCTTCTGGGCGGGATCCTTCGGCGAGACCATTGATATTATGTCCCCTCTCTCCACATCACAGTTGTGATTCCCCCAGCGCAACAGGAACACATAGTCCCTCACATTGGCCACTGGATTGAGTGCGGGCTGCATGGAGATACCTGGAAGGGAAATTGATGGTGTGTCGTGCCTGTCTTGGTGAGGAAGTAATTCCCAAAGCACGCAAAACTTACCATCCACCCTGGCCACATAGCCCACGCAGTCGAGGAAGGTAACCCCCAGTGGCAGGCCGTAGAGTAGGGATTTGGCGAAGAAACGAAATGCCATGTGTCGGGTACGTGCCGCTGCTGTGGGTCCGTGAAGTTACACAATTCTCTGTTGGACACCTGGCACCGGATAGGAGCTGCGGATCCCCAGCCTCTTGATTCCGCGCTTAGTTAGAATGGACCAAAAACACTATTGAATGAATACATAACATAACCAGAATTGTTTCCACAGCCTTTTTGGCATTCACAGCGAACGACCTGCACGGTCTATTGTTTATGGCCCGGAAACAGGGTGTCGTGTTTTGTCTGAATGTTTTGTATACAAATACAATATTTATTATAGTTAGATCAAGTGAAGCAAGTTCATGTGAAGTTTTTGAAGCTATTGTACATTGTTACAGGTGATGTGGCTAAGTTTTATTCAAATTTGTTTTGAAACTGTAATGGGAATGTCTGGTCTCAGCAGCCCTCGAGCTCTCTCGGAATGGGAATATCATTTTGTTTAGCAAAATGAAGGAGAGCCTTGTATTTGTTCTTCCAGTTTCCGACCTCGATGCGAATGAGCTCGTTGTCTTCGTGCCTTTGCTCCAGTTCGGTCCATTCACACGATTTCTTAGTCTCCAGCTCGTCCTTTTGCTCGATTCTCTTGATGCGGCAACTGGCAGCATAGCCGCGGTTCTTCAGCGTGCGTCTTCGCTGCTTCATCCTCACGATTTCCTCGCGGTTCAGCCCACGCATTTTCAGGGTCCGATTCAGGTCCCTCACAGAAATGGTAACCAGCTCGTCATCCGTGATGTCGGAAATGGGACAGGGCGAAAGTGGTGGCTAGAAAAGGTCGTACAACATATGAATTCTTTCTTTTTTTATTGCATTGCGAGACAACATACCAAGGAGGACTTTCTCTCACGTTTAGATTCCATTTTTAATAGCAATAAAGAACTTTTTAGCTCAATTTTTCTACCCGACGAAATTTTTGCGTTGTTATTGTGTCTTCTTTTGATTGGCATTCACCCGGAAACGTAAGTGGTGTTGAAAAACAACATTGTAAGGTGCGATAACATTTATTGTTCCATATAGTTTCGATAACTTGCATGCACAACTTTAAAAATTAACTGAACTAAGGCGCTAAGTGTTTCTGATGTGATGTAACCGCTAATTTTGTAGTATGCACTTCCATGGATATTGTGTTCTTTCAGACTTGCTGGTCAGGTTCAGGTTCCCACTTGAACGAGAATCTTCAACCTGTGACTGAGCGTACTCTTGAATAATTGGGTTCTCTTCTGTTGCAACTTCAGAAGGGGCTGTGTTCTGTGGTGGACCCTCTGTGTTCTCTCCTCCACTAACTTCCGTGCTGGCTGTATCATTCCCCGAATCTGCGTAACTGATAACCGGAGAAATGTTCTTCTTCAGGACACCTTGTCTCTCGGGCCGCTTGTCGTTCCTGCAACATGCCGAGCTGAATAGGCTTTCAGATTGTAGGGCAAGTTTTAAATACCACTAGATTTGTTGATTGTTTCTTACCTGTCAAGTGTCATTTTTTCATTATTTTGTTCTGTATTAACAGGAATGGCAAATGCATTTAGCTTTTTTAGCAGCGTTTTGGGGGTTTTCTCACTAAATTTATAATTAATAGTATTCCGATTGTAATTTTTCATGTAAAAGGAGTGATAGTAGCGGCGCAGCAATTTCCTGGCGGATAATTTTGTTTGCGATTTGCTTAGCAACTCTCTCGCTATATCTCTAAAGTTTATGTATTTCAGGAATGTTTTTATCTTAACCGGATACTTAAAGGATACGCCCTCGATGGTGACCACAGTCGACTCGCGTATCTTAGAAAAGGTTACACTAAAACATAAATAGAAACGCATTTAAACAGTAGTAAACCGCATAAACTCAAAAAACAGAGATTTGTACTTACGGAGCTGCCTCCAATGGACCAGCTGGATTCTGTTCAGCTTCCTTTTCAACTACATTCGATGCCCTGCAACGAACACATGAACACCATTTCAAAATGACATAAAATGCATTCACATTTCAATTTACCGATTTGATTCCGATGGGCCCACCCACTTGGCAAACTGAAGAAGCCTGTTCCGCAGCACGGGGTGATCAGCTTTGAAAGTGTAGTGATAGATTTGGCGGACTTCCTTGATTGTGTAGAAGCCATGGTAGAAGCGTTGCATCAACTGCTGATCCGTAAGAATCGTCGTAAGACCTTTCCTTTGATTATATTGCTGTGTTTCCCTGAGCTGGCAAATCATGTGGTCGTAGTTGATGTTCTCACAAAAGCATTGCGGGCTTATGGGGTATTTGTGAGTGACGCCTTCAAAAGTTATCACTGGTTCATTTACAGATTCTCTGTGCGTATCGTTGCGCTTTGGTTGATCTGAAGGTTGATCGGATGGCAGATCAAAGCTATCAAGTTCCATAGGTACCTCAATGCTTTCACCAATAACTGAGCAGGTCGGTTGACTCAGCAATGTTTCCCGTACTGTTCTGGGACATGGTTTTAGTTTAACCTGGAATCGCTCGCGTATTTCAGGCGAGCTGTAGAACAGCCTGAAGTATTCCCTGGCACACTTTTCTTTGGATAAATACTTAAACTGGTCTTCGCTCCGCATTTTCTCGATGATTTCCTCTAGATTCTTGATGTAACTTTGGAAAAACTGAAAGCTGACAGGAGCAACAACCGTTTCTTCGACCAATTCGGAGATTTTAAACTGAGGAAAATTTTGCTTCAGCTTCTCGGCTTGCTCGCGAGTCGGTATTGCAAGTAGGCGAGCACTGATGGTCCGCGTACACGGGTTTAGTCTGTACTTGTATCGCTCACGAATCTCTGGCTTTAGATAAAATGCCAAGTAATAGGCATGAGCACATTCCTCAAAGCCCATGGGCACATACTCGGGGTCGTTGAGCTTCAGGTGCCACACAATGTCGAAGAGATTATCTACATATTTCTGGAATTCTTCATAGCTCACAAATGAAAAGTCGCTGTGGAAGGTGGCAGATGTTGTGCAGTGCATTGGGGTGGTCAGGTGGTACTCACTTGTCAACTTTGACCCGCACACCATCAGCCGTTTCTTGATCCAACTCTCCGGGCGATTCATCCTTATCTCTTTTCGGCAGAGTGCGAAACTTATCCCTGATGTTTTTGCGACTCGAGCGCAGCTTAAACTGAGGGCGTGTTTGGTATTCCTTCCTAAAGGGAAAATATATTATTATGTTATATGAAATTAAGTGAATTTCCTCTTTTTTCTAACTTTATGCTTTTCGGATTCTTTGGAGACATGACTAAAAATTAAACTCACAAAAACGAATTGAGCGAAACCCAGCTTTTCGGTTCTAGGGAGGAGCAGTTGTCCGATTAGACTTTGCCAACTAACTAAAAATCGGAGATAGTCTTGATATCGAAGGAGCATGCGTGCAATGATGGAATGCTTTCTTTTTGCAGAAAAGTTAGAAAAGCCAACGAACTCAACCCGTTTATCGCACAAAAATAGCCACATTTGCTTGTCAGTTATCCAGTTCATATACGACCAGATGAAATAGCTTTTCGTTCTTCTATCTATCGATGTATCGATATTTCAATATATCAATAAACCAACATCCCTATTTCGACGCCAAATGTTAGCGCGAAAATTGTACTAATTTCTGCAAATGCACAGTGTTATTTCATCAAAATGAATTCGCAGCTAATTTACCACAATGTACCAACACCACCGGCAACCAACACACCGCTGGCAGTTGCGGCACCAGACGGCGGCTTCCTTTATGCCGGCATACGCAGCATAAACTACATATCGGCGGAACCGGCAAACTCCTCGGAGAAGTCGCAAGTTAAAATCATGTCCACGCGCTTCAACATAATTGCACTGGATGTCAGTCCGATGTGGGGCAAGCGGAGCCAGCCATTTGCCATAGTTGGCGACGATCTGAGTGTGCAAGTCTGGGACTGCATAATGGGCGGGGCTGTCACCGGACACAAGGCGCATCAACATCAGCACGAGGCACGCAATTTCAGGGGAAACCGTTCCTCTGAAGCGTCTGTGCTAATGAGCTACATGAGCAACGGCAACATTCTTTCGATAGATGCCAGCGATTTGGTTATCTACTGTGTGGCCTCGAACACTTATTGCCGTCGCCCCACATTCATCCCGTCGCGCATTCACCACTTCGTAGTCCTGCGCTGCTCTCCCTACAACGACAACATATTTGCCTTGGGCACGACCTCGGGAGTTGTGCTGGTTTGTGACCTGCTCAAGATGAGCATCCTTTACAAGTTCAATGGCCACAAGCACTGCATCAATGGACTGGCATGGCGGCAAGTATCCCTTCCCTATGAGGAGGAACATCTGAATCTCGACGCGTTGTCCTCGCAAGCTGAGCAGTGGCGCAGTCGCAAAGAAGAAGAGGTAGCCGAAGCCAAAGTCGAGGACGTAGCCAAAGCCGAAGCTGCATCCAAAGCAAAACCCAAACCCCCTCCGCTGGTCAAGTCCAAGCCAGCCGAATCTGATGATCCGTTTGACATTTACAACTTTGATCATCTGGAATGCGAATTCGGGGCCCCAGTCGACACTCGTCGATGCCAGTCATCCGACGATTGCGGCGACGACTTTGTTGGCCTGGAGAAGCCGGCAGGAGCCGTTGCTCTGGATTTCGTAGAGGCCTGTGAGAGCATTAAGGCGGATATTATGGCCCATCGATCGGAGGCAACTGGTGGTGAATCTGGCTACCAGCATGTGGAGGTGACCTTGGCCGACTGCCAGCCCACGAAGCCAACTGGTCCCCTTAGCGATGCCAGCACGCTTAGCAACAATCAAGAGGCCGCCCTGCCCAGCGATTCCACCGAAGGCAGCCTGGAGGTGATCCAATACAGCTCCTCCAGCGACGACGCCGTGATTGTCGATGGCGATGCAGCCAAGCCGAAGAGAGAAGTGCTCCATCACATCTACCACCGGGCCGAAGTGCACGCTCCCGAGACACCGCAAATTCAAATGAATCCCGAGCCCGACTCGAAAATTGCATTGGTTGAGGAGAGCAGCACCGAGTCGATCATTTCGATAAACTCCTCTATACGCCCAGACATACTCCTCGTCTCCATTGACACCGAAGAGGTGTTGATGATCTGGAATACGAACACGGGCGCCCATGCCGGCAAGAACTACAGTCGCAGCAAGTCAACAGGTGAGCTACAAGCGAAAAACATACAGCCCCGGACCATCCCTTAATCCCTTGAATATCTTTACAGATCAGGTTTGCAGTGTCCTGTGGCTAAATGATCGCACCATTGTCTCCCTGGGTCGGCACCAGTTGTCCTTCTGGTCGCTGGTGTACGACCGTAAAGTGCTTCGCTACAAGATCAGCAAGGACAACGCACACAAGTGCGCCACAAAGGACATACTGTCCGTTGCCAGTAATTGCGGCAAACAGCAGCTTTGGGTGTGCAAAACCAATCGCACAACTGAACTAATGGATCCCCTCACTGGCCTCACCATCTCCAACTACAGCTCATTGGTGTTTGGAGTGCGGGCCATGGTCGAGTGTCCGGATGATATGAACAAGTAACCAGCGAACCTTACCCAATGCAATTTCTTAACAACTGATCCTCTATTTCCCATCGTTCATTTTGCAGAATCGCTCTGGGATGTTCGGACCGTCGCGTGGCTTTCTTTGATCTGTCTAAACTGGCGACAAACGGCGCTGCCATCAACAGTCTATTTGTTGGCAGCAATGTCTACTCCCTGGCTTGGAGTCCCGACTGCTTGCAACTTGCCTGCGGCACCTTCGATGGAACAGTGAGTTTTTACTCTGATTTTATTTCACACAAAAATTAATCAACGTTCCAACAACAGGTGGTGATTCTCGACGTGGAGAGCATGAGGGTGAAGAGGACCATTCAAGGACCCCAGAAGAAAGAAGTATACAGTTTGGTGTGGCAGGAAAACTACATCTACTTCGTGGTGAACCGCAAGCTGTGCCTCTTCGATGTGACCAAGCCCAATGCCGGTGAGTGCAGAAGCTTCTCTCACTTGTGCTGGCGTGTGTTGTAGGTCTGGTTCTGGGCATGGCGCTGGCCATAGCTGATCTTCGTCTGTGTGTCGTGGGTCTGTCGCTTGCGTATCTCTGCCATGTGGATGGTCTCGCGGTGGTAGTCCCACGCATTCCATGTCACATTTATCCAGTTCGGGGCCGACAAGTCGTTGGTGACCACCATTTCGGTTTGACCTGCGAAATCTCGTCGCTTCGGCGGCTCCTCAGTCAGGTCCTGCAGCTCTTGGGATATGAGCGCTTCGTCCAGCTTAAAGAGCAACGCCAGATTGGCACTATTGAAGATCACCTTCCTGAAGGCGGGTATAAACTGCTCGAAGAAGAGCTCCGTGAAGCGGGCGTACATGTGATCTCTCAGCCCAAATGTTATGTTCACGTTCATGCAAAGCTGTCGCGTCACCTTTGCCGGCAACAGCAGCCCGTTCGTTATGGTCATGGTGAGGGCACAAAAATCCTTGATGTCCGCCTCAGCCAAGCTGCAAAAGTTGCCGTCCGTGTGGAAGTCCGTCATGACGGCCATGCGATCAAGAAAGTTTGTTTTCTGCGTCTCCTTGATGCGTTTGTCCAACGCCTGGAGCTCGGCAATTGTGGCCTCTGCCAGTTCCTTTATCTGAGGTCCCACCAGCAGTTCCAGTTGCTCCCGCAACTTGTTTAGCTCGACAACGTGATTGAGGAAGTTATTCAGGTTGCTCCACACCTGCGAGATGTACACAAAGTGTGGCTAATGGATGGGCAGAGGGATGTTAGAAGTGAGCGACTCTATGGGGTGGCTTGCCACTTACGAATATCAGCTCCGAGTCGATGGCCGTGCGCATGGCCAGCGTGTCATTTATCTTTGCCACCACACAGTCGTAGCGGTTTCGCTCTACCTCAATGAGATAGACGGTGCGCTCATAGCTGCGATGCAATGCGCCCAGGCAGCGCTGCAGCATGGCGTAGGTGAGTGTGAACTGATTGAGGCGCTGCAAGTGCTCCAGGGGCACTCGATAGGTCATCGTGGTGTCCTTGGGATCCAGCCGAATCAAACTACCGATGGCCGTTTGACAAAGCGATTGCATTTTGGCCGCTTCATCCAGAGACAGTTGGAAGGCAGAGCTTGTGTTCTTCTGCGCCATCTCCAGGTCGCCAACGACTGAGGGGAAAAGTAAAAACATTTTTTCAGGAGCTCCCTTCCCTCTGCACTCACCAAATCGCACATTTTCCCGGTCTCCATCCGGCCCATCGTTGTTATAGATGACAATACCGGCCACGGTGGCCGCCAGTCGCTGCAGGTACTCCAGACGATGGTACTTCTTCTTCAGCACATAATTCTGCAGGTCGCTGCGCCCGATCACGCTGTTCAGGGCCTGAGCGGTCAGCTTGAGCAGCACGTGGTTCTTGGGACAGCCCAGGTTGTAGCAGGCCACGATGAAGACCTGCATCTTGGCAAAGAGCTGATCCAGCTGCGCCTTGCTGCAGCTCTCCGGGTACTGCAGTATGTCGTCGATGAGCAGCTTCAGTTCGTCGAAGAATTTCTCCTCGTACTTCTCCTTTACGTACTGCAAGTCGATGCCCCGACCCTTCTTCATCACCCACGACATCTTCATGTTGGCCATGGTGCAGTCCACCCGACTCACATAGCTGTCCACAATGTCGTCTACGAATCTGATGATGGCGCAGGCATTCTGCTTGTCCAGGTCGCTCTTGTGCAGACCCCGCCGCAAGTCGCGGACCAGCAGATGCACCACGAAGATTATGAACTCCTCCTCCACATCCAGGTCGAGCTCTTCGAAGCGCTTCATGATGCGCCGCTCAATCTCCACCAGAGTTCTGTGTCGCGGCATTATAACTGAACAATAAATTTGATTTTCGCTTTGGTTAAAGAAAAGAAAACTAGGACTTCAAGTGAAAGCAAATGTGGAAAGAAATGTGTAGGGCTGCTTGTTATTTTTTTGACTCGTTGCTCCTGGAAACGTCAGCCTACTACTGTGGAGGGGCAAAGGTCATCAGTTCTAACAAGGTGTTAATATACTTTCCTTTCCTTTTTTTGTCTTTCAGGAGCAACTGCTCTAAACCTAATGGAACGCACGTGCTTGGTGAGCGTTCGTGGACCTTTCCTGTTTTTGGGCTCCGATGACGGCGTACTGCAGCTGCACGAACGCACGCCCGAAGGGAAGCCCAGCTGGGGCCCAGCTCTACGCCAGTCTGCACTGCTGTCTCGGTATATTACGGACGTTGCCTGGAATCCGTTGCAGAGCAATGTGTTTGCTGTTGTGGGCCACGACAAGTATGTCATAATAATGGAATTTCTGGAGGCGGAGCGCAACTGGAAGACACTCAATACGTTCACGGCCAGCGACCCAAGGGGCTCGATCACCTCGCTGAAGTGGAGCAACTGTCAGAAAAACCTTTTGCTGAGCTTCCACATTGAGGGAAAGGTGTGCGTGTGGGACACTCTGGATTCGAAGAAGGCGCCTCTGACCATCACCTATCACTGCCCCATGTGGTGCGGCATGTTCTTGCCCTCCGATGAGAACATCGTGATGTGCTCGGGCAAAGCGGTCTCCCTGGAACTTATCAATATCAAAGTAGCCTTGGTTGGAGACGAGAGAAACATTTGCTCCAAAGTGGATGGATTGCTCAATGTCAAGTGGGCCACGAAATCCCTGGTGCATCCGTATGCACCGCCCACCAACGCAGAGGTGAAGAAAATTAGGCACAACGAAAGACGCAAGCATCGCAGGGGAGGGGCACGTAAGGGTCAGGAGATGGTGGCGATCCAGAATAATGAGGCGCTGAATGACGGCCAAAAAGTAGAAGAAATGTTCGGTGCTCTGAGCTTGGATCAGAAGAAACCAGAGCCAGGCCAGAGCACAGCCGAGTGCAGCAAGTGCAAGGAGAATGTGGCTGCTAGCCAACCTCCCGAGAGTGTCGCAACCGTAAGTCATAGGTCAACTAGATTGACATCTACTTAAACACTAGCTTCTTTCCGTTTTTCAACAACAGAATACCCGCACCTGCCTCTACCTAGCTCACAAGGATCTCAACAAGAACGCCCTGGGAAAGCTGGCCATTGTACTGACCGAAGATGCGGAGAAGATTGACAAGTCCGTGCTCCTGTCGAAACTGTTTGGCACCAAGGCGATGGCCAAGGAGCTCATTGAAACGGAGCGTAAGTGAAATAAAAGTTCAGGCAGAGCCTTAATGATGTGAGATTTATTTCAGTGACCAATTTGAAGCACTCCAATTCGAAGGATATTGCACCACTGTGCCTGACCATTTCCACATTTAAACTGCGCGAGGAGTTGGAGGATCACATTGCCAACAAGACACTCACGGAGGGTCATCTGGCTGTGGCCCCCTCTGTGTCCTATGTGTAAGCCTTTGGCCAAGTCCTTTGCATCACTCGCTAATTTGCTTTTGCTGTTTAGGTTTTGGCGAGAATGTTGCGAAGCGTATGCCAAGCAGATGGAGGAGAAGGGCTACATCATGCATGCGGCCACGTACCGCTTTAGCTTGGGTCAGCACAGGGAGGCCATCGATCTGCTGTTGGCCCACGAGTATTTCAAGGAGGCCCTAGTCCACGCTCGCATTAGCCTACCGGCCACCGACCCCAAGATAAAAATCATCATCAATCAGTGGTTGGAGCGACTGGAGAGGACGGGAAACTTTGGAGCGGCTGCTCTCATGTGAGTGCCATCAAAATGCATTGTAGATAGTGAGTATTAATATCATTCCCTCGCCCCGACAGATGCGTGCTGGACAACGAGATGATGCGTGGGTACACCTATCTGCGCAAGTTCCACAATTGCACGCCCGAGATAGCCGATCTAATGGCCCAGATCAAACGTATCGGCCAGCTGAGCGACGCGCTCGACTGCTGTGCACCCGGCGAGCCAGCAGCTTTGAATGGAGAAGCTAGCGACCACGTTGCTTAATTGATATTTAGTTATTTTCAAACATAGAAAAGGCTGTAAGCATTTATGCATTTCATAGCAAGTCAGAGAGTAGAGCTGCGCGCCTTGAATGAAATATTTGATTTAATCAACGAAGAAAAGAAAAGCAAAAGGAATGCACAATAGTTAGAGAAAACACGAAAATTGATTTTTGAATAAATGAAAATGAAAAACATTAATTAGAACCCCATCCCCAGCGGCCATACGTTCGAGCCACAACTTATCGGGCATAAGACCTGCGGCCCAGACAACAAAGGTATGACCGTTAGGCCTTATTTTTGTCTAGTCTGTGCTTTGTTTTTGGCTGGAATCAAATTATGCAAATGCCGGAGAGAGGCGAGAGAGGACGGCCCGGCCTCTATTTCCTCCCTCCATAGCATCAGTGCCAGTTAGAAATTAAACTTAATTGTTGGAACAAAAGTCAGGGCGAGTGAACTTGCTGCACGGCAGACGACCAGAAAACCAACAAACCAAAATCTTCAAGCAAGCAAACAAACAAACAAACGAAATATTCAAATGAACGACAGACAGAAGCAGAGCTCAAGCTCAAGCTTTGGCCTGGTCGGGGGCCCGGGCCAGCCCCGAGCACATTTCAGTTGCCAAACAGCCGTCGTAGCGCTCGCTCAGCTGGCGCAGTGATCAGTTCCCGAGTGTTCGGTGTTCGGTGTTCTGCGTTCATTCGTTTCGTTGCGTTTTGCGTTTCCTCCCGAGTCGGCGGTCGTCATTTTCGAATTTCACTTTTAACTGTTTGTAGGCAAGCGCGCCAACTCGAACGTACCGTTACCGCTGCACGTTACGGTTATTTATGTGAGTGAACGAGAGAGGAGAGTAGATTAGATTATAGTGGTGACCCATCCACACAGACGATACGATACGATGCGGACAGTGTCTGCGAGTATTATCAGCACATGGCATGTGCGTGTGTGGCTCTGGTTCCGCAGTTCTCACGTAGCCCCATCAACTTTGACTTGACCCAGCTTACGCTTGCGCTTATGGCCTAACCGTTGTACAATTAAATAACAATTAGATTATAATTATGTCCCACAGCACATTTCGCTTTTGCAAACAAGTTTCTTCAGTTTATTCAATTTATGCGGGTAAAAGTGTTGAGAACAAGAGTGTTTCCCCCCGCCCCAACCAAAGTTGCTCTCGACTTTGGCAGAGTGTAGCCTGAAGCTTCGCTCTCGCATGCGAACGACGCAATTTGCAAGCGCGACAAGCCCAAAAGCTTCTCTTCTTTGGGCATGACTCAACATTGAACAATTTTACCGTACGCGAATGCGTGCGCTTGTGCGTATGTGTGTGTGTGTGTGTGTGTGAGTGCGAGTGTGTCGTCGCTGAGGAGTAATCATTTCTTGGTTGACTGATAATTTGGACGATTTTCTCTATTCTTTTTGGTGCATGGTTTTCTTATGGGCTGTTGAAACTGCTTGGGCCAGGGATTAATTGGAAGTGAAAGGTAGAGTAAGATATGTAGACCCATTCATGTAGTTTTGATTGCATTTTGAAACGCACATCATAACGGTAGCTGCTACCCGGCAGCAAACGTCATTAATTCCTCTTCATTTCATTCCATTTCGGCTTCAACTCTGCAAATAAAATAATAATAATAATAATAATAGTAACAATTTGCATAACTTTGCTGCTGCATTGTTGCTTATTCATGCATTCAGTTGGCAATGCACTGAATGTTGTTTCCATTGTTGAAGCTTTATGTCTTGTATGCAGCATTGTTGCATTTATGCTATTGAACCCGCCAGGCCATGCCACCGACACGCAACTCAACGCAACTGCTGCAGTCATAATCGCATTAACAACAATCACAAAATTAATTCAATTTCACGAAACAGAGAATACAATGCAAAAAACTATAACAGAGACGACAAAAAAATATTTTGAAATGTGCTTCAGATGGCCCGAGTTCACAGAAATTATGTTAAATCTGCATAATTTCGTAATGTTCGCTGCGGGAATACCTACGTATTCGGCATGGGTGTGGCCTGACACTCAGTCAAGGGCGCACTGGATTCGTTTTGCCGCCTTTCCCTGCCACTCCACACAGCCAGTGTGCTAATGGACAGCAGCAACAGCAGCCCCCTCTGATCCCGAAACTCGTTTCAATGGCGGGCAGCTTTGCCCCCGAAAAACCGGACAACTGCCCAAAGAGCTGGCTATATACATATACATTTGTATGTTTGTCCAGAAAATTAGCAATAAAACGAAGTTGGCTTGCAATTCTTTCCGGCCACCAAAGAGAGAAATAGCAGGCCAAGCCACTGTTGGACTGGGACTGGGACAGGAAAGACCTGAGAGCTGGTCGTGGGGCCCAACTGTGCAACGTCTGCGGAATGTCAATGGGGCAAGTCAACGCTTTGACACTTTAAGGTGCGCATATCCGGCGCGTCGCTCCATATGGGGAGCAGGCAAAGACCAACCCAACGCAGCCCAAGCACAGCCCCAGCCAAAACACGCCCCCATCATAATCGATGATGATCATGATGATGTTGATGTGGATGTGGATGGCACACCTGCGCGATGACGGCATTGACAGCGAGTTCGTCGCCTCGTCTGGATGACGCTGTCTATTATAGGAAGATTACCGTATCCATCGAAGCCACTAACTGGCTGTGGCTCTAGCACCGACGCTGCGTGATGTGTTGGCGAGGCGTCTCGATTGCCTACACTCCACAACAAGCAACAAGATCGTGGGCCGTAATTGTATTACCTCAGAAGTGGGACTCTCACTGAATGATCAGCCACTTGGGAGACAGACGCTCTTCACTTTGACTCTTTGTAGTGCAGTGTAATTGATTAAATGATTTAATCTTAGTTTAACTCGGCACACAAATTCATTTGTCATGACACATAAGTCAACAGGTACTCGCCGGTAGCTGGCAACTGTTGACCAGACCACGAGCTGCTCCCATAAATATTGGTTTAGGGTCAAATATTTGCTTGGCTAGCGCCGCTTGGGGCACAGCACAACAAAAGATTTGGGCAACGGCAACGAACAGACTGGGCTTTGTAGAAAAGTGAAAATCTTCTCGAGAATATGGCACAGGCCGTTAGCTCTCGAAAGACACGTGAATACACACGAGAGAGTGAATGTATGTGTGTGAGTGGAACAAGTTCGTTGCCCAAGTCTTTTGTTGGACGAGTTTGTGTATTTATATCGAACACCGAAACCAAACACAAACGCTTGGCACTCATTCGAATTCTCATTTCAGCATCAACCTAGCATGACAAGGCTCAATTAGGCCGCCTAACGCTTTCATCCAACCACACCAAAACACCAAAACACCAGCGACCAAGCATCAGCATCAGCGGTCTGGACTCAAAACTCACTCAGACATAAACCAAGAACTAGAACTAGAGCTTCTTCTGCCACGCATCACACCACTGACCTCCTGCCAGCGAGCCAAGGCCGGCACCAGCTGGCGCTTGAGCAGGCAGGCCTATCATCCCCATACCATCTCCCTGCCCAACAGCACATTTCTCTGCATCCACACATACCACAACCACACTTACCGAACCACCTTCTGTTACGATCTTCTGCCGAAACCGCTACCGCTGTCGCAACCGAAACTGAAACACGAATAAAATGAATTATCAGAAGGCAAGTGAAAAGCATTCGCCGTCCTCATTGAAGCAGAGGCCGTCGGGCAACGGCGGCAGCATACAAAACTTTTGGAACGAACGCATTATGGAGCGCTTCATAAAGGCGAATCTATTCATTATCTGCTGCGTGGTGGCTGTTCTATTGCTGGTGAGTAACAGTAGTAATACACTGTGAAAAAAAGTCCACTAACCAAAATCAGTGGAGCATTACTTATGCATTTCGATGTGGCTTTAAATTCAGATTAAGATGCTTTGAGTACCAGGCGATAAACAACTTAGATATGCAGATAGATAATTTCCTGCTCCAAAGATCTACAAGTTACTTTCTGTGTGAATATTTGTTCCACAATTTGTTGATATGTCTTCTGCCAACCCCCTGTCCGCCTATCTGTCCGCCCGTTTCTTCTGGTTGTCTTGTCTCTGCAACTGTCTGTCCGGATCTGTCCGCTGGTCTGCCATCAGTGTGAAAACATTTTTGCCCCATTAAGTGAAAACGAAATGAAATCGTTTTTGTGCATCGTGCAAAATGTACGAATTTCATTTAATTTTTTTGTTGTATTTTGTTGTATGTTTTGTGTGTTTGTGCTCTCTGTCAGTGAGGGAGGGGGAGACTCATTAATTGATTGATGGATGATTGTGGAGCAAAGATGTCTCCGCTTTTTGTTCCGCACTTCACAACTTCTTTTGCCATCGCTTGATTTATGTTTTCGCTTTTCTTTTCCGATTGTGGGTTAATTTCCATTTCCATTTCCATTTCTCTTTCCCCGTCCACGGCAGATTGTCTACCTGGGGGCCTTCTCGTGTGAGGTCTCGTGGATACTGGAGGCCCACGGAGAGCTTCCCTTTGCCGCCTACACGCTCTGCACCCTCTACTTTGTGATGTTTGTGGCGACAACGATACTGATTCACGGCCTGGTCAGCGGCCTGTGCTGGCCCCTGTTTGCCTGGTCGGGCATCATTGGCCTCCTCTCCATTCCGGAGCTAGTCTTTGTGATGATCATGACCACACAGCATTGGGTAAGCTAAGCACTGAAGCCGCTACTGTTCGAATGGTTCCGTAATTTCCATATCATCCGAATGATTCCAGGGCCTGCAGTCGGTGCACGGACTGACGGAGCTGACCTCGTACCTGATCCGGCTGATCATCAATTGCTTGGCGTTGATCTGCGTCATTCCCACGGGTATTCGGTGGCGCCGCGAAACGCAGGTGCTCAGCCAGCTGCAGGGTTTGGCCACGCGGCTGTCCCTGCAGACGCCGGCACCCAGCGTGCCCATGACCAAGGCGGACTCCCGGCGATCCAGCCAGCGGCTGAGTGGCTTCGAGAACGCCGGCTATCAGCTGTGCGATGAGACATCTGGTAAGCTGCCACTGGGCCCCGGCATGGGAATGGGACTGAACAATCAGTGCGGCAATGGCGGCAGCCAGGCCTTCGGCTCGCAGAACGAGTTCAATGCCAGCATGTTTGCCCCGGCCCTGGCGCAGCAGTTCAACAACGCCGCCCAGATGCAGAGAGCAGCTGGAGGAGGAGGAGGACCTCCTGGACATCGCGCTCAGTCTCTGATGGATCTGCGCTGCACCTTGCCGGGCATGTACAACCCCCGACACGTTCTGGACACAGAGGACAAGAATGCCAAGTACTTCAACATAACCATCGACGACCTGAAGAACAATCTCCAGGACTCACATCGCCCGTCGCCCCCCTCGCTCATCGGCTCGGCCAGCAACGATCCCATCTACTGCTCCATCGAGCCCAAACAGATGACTCCACCGCCGGCACAGCAGCGTCCCCACCACGGTCATCGACCCAGGGGCAGCCACAAGCAGCCGCCGCCGGGCCAGCTCTCGCGTAACTGCATCTCCCTGGAGAACCTGGACGGGATCAGCAAGGTGCAGAACGACCTGAACGCCTACGGCAACAACCTGCTGCAGAACTACACCCAGCAGCAGCAGTACTACCTGGCCATGCTGCTCAACCCCCTGCACCAGCAACAGCAGCATCAGCAGCAGATGCAGCAACTGCAACAGCACCACCACCAGGCAGCAGGTGGCATCTACCGCCGCCCGTCAGCCTGCAGCTCCATTGGCGGCTTCAGCGGAACGGTGCTCGCCCAGCCGCGGCGTGGCTCACACCACAGCCAACAGATGCAGTACTACGGGGGCTTTGGGTATGCCAACTATGCCAATCCCTACATCACGGCCAACAGCAAGCTGTCGCTGGGCAACGAGTCGGATGACTACCGCAAGTACCGCGATGTGGCGCTGTAGGAGGTCCACGTTTAGATGCAGATACAGTCCAGTCCAGTCAGTGCTTAGATTATAGATACTTAAATTATAGATTGTAGGACCTGCTCGACTTAGAATGAGATTCCTCGGAATAACGACCAAAGAGCCACAAACTAACTCAGTTTACGTTCGCAAACCAACAAGCGACAGACTAGACTCCACGTTGAGTGATAGTTAACCCTGGGAGACCATCTCCATCAGCAGACACTTGTTGGAATCATCGACTAACTAACCAACTAGCAACATCAACTAGATTCGACCTAAGTTTAGACATAAGCCTCGACAGCGAACATTCATCGTTTAATACGAATAACAATACTCGACACACTCGAATACTCGGACTGATTGGCAGTCCCAACCATTCACTCGACAACTGTACATACTTGTAATTAAAGGCAATCATGTTTCACTTAAAGCCCAACAGATCGGCCAGGGGATTGTCGCCAGAGCTGGCTGGAATGGTTGCTGCAGTGCGAGTTTTGCTGGCAGCGGGCTTGGCCACACCACGTGGCTGAGGCTTGGCCTGCTTGCTCGTCGCAGCTCCGCCGAACAGATCATCGTCATCTTCATCGTCGCTAAACAGGCTCGTGCTCTTGCTTGACTGGATGGGCGCGATGTTCTTCTTGGGAGCAGTCTTCGCCGGCAGCTTGAAGTCCTCATCCTCGTCGCTGCTGAACAGAGACGCTGCTGTCGTTTTAGAGGACACCTTGGCTTGAACAGAGGGCACTGGGGCGGCCACTGCTGCACTGGCAAACAAATCGTCATCGTCATCGCTCTCATCGAACAATTTGGCTGGTCTTGACATCGGCACAGTGTGTGCTTTGGGCTTCACATGATCCTCCGGCGGCTCACTGGGCAGAGGAGCAGCCATTGCCTTAGCTGCAGGAGCTGGCGTAGCTGGCTTTGCTGAAGTTTCGCTTTGTGACATTGCAGACACTATCTTGGCAGTACCAAAGAGATCCTCATCTTCATCATCACTGTCCAAAAAGGATTTTACCAGTTTGGGCAGAGTCGGTGTCTTGCTGGAAGCCGTTGCGTTAGATGTTGGAGCTACCTCAGCGGATGTTGACTGATGCACATCTTCCAGCACACTCTTGGCGTAGTTCTCCCGCCTGCCCTGCCTGGTGGATGGTCGCCTTCGAGCCGGTCCTCGAGCGCGTGTTTTGTTCACATGCTGAAGGCCGTTCTCTCTGCCGGTAGAGTTTGATTCCTCATTGATATTAGGGGTGTACGCACTCGGTGGTTTAGTACCTGGTACTGACACTTCTGCTTCTTGTAGGGGAGGAGCCGCTGGCACCTGCACCTTTTGGAACTTTGGCAGGCCTCCGCTGCCAGGAAGCAGCGCCTGAACATTGATGTTGATGTTGGGCATCTTCAGTTTCTTCACAGGAGATGGGGGAGTAGGCAGTTCAGCTACTTCTTGTGCCTTGCTGCGATCCACTTCATCAGCTGGTGGATGCTCCTCCTCCAGTATGGGTGATTTGCTGGTTTGCCCCACCGCTCCTGCTCGTGCCGTTTCACTGAAGTCATCATAGAAAATCGTATGAATGCGGGTTGTGGTCGATGGCACATCGACGGGCTGTGCTGCAGCTTTTTTCTGCGCCTCGGCAGCATCTTCGTCGTCATCGGGTGGCACATCGCTGAACAAACCAATTGGCCCATGGTCGCTTGAAGTAGGGGCCGAGCTCTTGTTTGCAACTGGAATTTTGGGTAGCGCCGGCTCAAAGAAGTCCTGATCGTGCTCAAACATTTTCGAGGCACTCAGGCTGCTGAGACTGCTGCTGCCTAGAGTCTGGAAGAACTCGCTGTCATCCGGGGGCTCCTCGGAGAAGAGACTTGTGTAGTTTTGCATTATTTGCTGGGCAGCATCGAGGTCAGCTTCAGGTGCAATCAAAGTGGCCTCTTCTTTGGGGGATTTATTTGTGACATCAGCCACCATACTTATGATGGGATCTTCATCGTGCTCGAGGTCATCCGGCGGAGGGGTCTCTGAAATCGGTGGACCTATTTTTGGGCTTCCAAATAGATCCGCCATGACATCGACTTTATCTTTGTTGGGGCTTTCATCTTCCGTTCTGTTCGTTGGCTCAGGAGTTGGGAGAACGCTCTCTGGCAGTTTCTGTGGCTTAATCTCTTTTTCCAGCACTTGTGGGTGAATCTCTTGACTAATTTCCGTCGCAGCAGCAGTCGACTTGCTCTTGGCTGTGCTCAAAAATGAATCATCATCGCTGAAGTCTTCGTTAAACAAATCAGCAGCTTTATGAGCGGAAATTTCAAGTGCGTCCAGCTGAGGGTTCGATTTCTCTTCAATAATCTCAATAGGTGGTGTTACTACTCCTGCCTCCTCTTCAATTTCCATCGCTGTCTGGGTTTCCTCTTGAACAATCTCCAATTTCTCTGTTTCCTCCGTTGGTTGTTCAGATTGATTGGCAAATAAGTTCTTGGACTTTGGCGTTCCGAAGAGATCCTCTTCCTGTATGTCATCAAACAGATCTTTCTTTGGTGGCATGGGCGTCTCCACCTTCTTTTCAACTGGCGGATATTTCTCTTTTGTCGACTCCTTCTTTGATTCAAACAAATCTGTGACATCATCATCCTGATCATCATCATCAAACAGCGAGGTTTTTCCAACTAATCTCTCCGAGAGTTTGTTCGGCTGTGCCGGCGGCTTGATAAATATATCGTCTATATCCAAATCATCATCATCGAATAGCGACGATTTCAGCTTTTGTTCTGGTGGCTTTGGCTTGGCCGTAAAGGAGCTCAGGAAATCATCCTCCAGGTCATCATCGAAAAGCGATTTGGGCAACGGTTTCGCAGGCTCTTTTGGCGGAATTTGCCTCTGCTTGACACTCAAAGGCGACGGCCCGTCGTCAAAGATGGGACGAGACAGATCATTGGTCGCATCCCTAAGCGGAGTGTGCGTGGTGATCGGACTCAGGGGCGGACTGTCCTCAAAGAGATTAACAGTTTTGGACTTGGGCTGAGTGGCTACAATCTCATTGATCTGCTTGAGCGTTTCCAGTTTGGGTGCTTGATCCACTGGTTTATTCTCTTCGGGCAGCTTGTTCGCTTGATTCGATCTTCTGGCGTCTGCTGTGTTATTTCCCGTCTTGCTCTGCACCTTGTCCACGATTTCCGACATTAGTGAGTGGAACTCATCATCATTAAAGAGATTTACAGGCTTGCGCTTGATTGGACTGGGATTTGCATCAATTTTCCTGGGAATTTGTGGGGGCACAGCTTCGTCGAATAGCCTTGGCGGCGGCTGATGAGCTGCGCTGCTACTGCTGGAGCTCAAGGAGGCCTGCATAGCTGCAGTTCCCCTAGGGCCTATGGCAGGAGAGGATCTTGGCGAAGATGAAGTAGAAGGCGGATCATCGCTTGGCGGCGATTGCCGAAGGGCAGCAAACAAGTCTCGTTCATGTGGATTCCGTTGACTGCTGATAATTGGACGTGGTTGTGTCCTGCTGGGTGCTGGTTGCCTTAGATGGTGGTCAGCAGGTGCCAAGATAGGAGGCGCTGCAGGGGCAGGAATCTGCAGCTTAACTGGGGACACAACTGCCACCGGCTCCGTGTTCGCTGAGGCCAATGAAGAAGAGTCGGATAGCTGTGGCTGCACTAATCTGTTCTCTGGCTTTGGTGTTTTGCTGGACGCAGACTCCCTCTCGTCCGACGAGCTGGAGGAGAATTCCTCCGACTTTTCATCATCGCTGCTCTCTTTGCTGTCGTAGAGTCCAGCGTACTTGTGCTCCTGCCATTCCTTAGAGCCAATAATGTAGGGCAAGGGAATGGCATCGTACGGGTTCTTGGCGCGAAAGATTGTCCTGTCAATTCGGAAAGGGTTAATAAATAGGGAAACTTTATAAACGTAATCCACATACGTAGAATTAACTGGCACATCTTCATCGTCCGAATCGGGCACGTCAATGGTCACCGGCTCGAAGTTTTTGCGAAACATTTGCAGATTGTTTTCTAGAAATTCTTTAGACATTTCCTGCGAACTCTTTGGCGGAGACTCGGGCTGCAAGCAGATATTGATCATAAACTGTTCCCCAATGAAAATTCATTGGCTTATGGCACCTTCTTCTTCTTTTCAGCAGGCATCTCAAAGTCGTCATCGTCAATCTCCTGCACCCGGTACTCCACAAACTGCTGACCGAATTGAAGGGAGCGCAGGCTGTTGGTGGCATTGCTTAGCGATATGTCGGCTTGCCTAACTCTAGTTTCAAACTCTCTCAGATTCCGAGTTGTCCGTTCTCCTCGTTCTTGCAGGTTCTGCAGGGCAAGACAATATTAAATAATAAGTTTGTTGATGGACTGAGGCTGAATCATTCTCACGAACCTGGGATATTCGTTTCATCAGCGCCAGAAGAGCACAATCGCCAGCAAAGTTCCATTCCGGCGCCTGAGCAGTAATATCCGCTATTTCTGCACTTATATCCATTGCGGCGAAGGCAGATTTAAAATTTAATAACAATAATTAATGAATGCAAAACAAAGAAAACGAAAAAATGCACCATCACACAACAGTGATGAGCGCTATTCGCATACCTGCTACTTGTTGATAGCTGCTTAAAATCACTGCCCATTGCAGTAATACCAGGAAAACGGAATTACGGAAACTGGAAGCTAAGATTCCGAATCAAGGATGGCATTTCGTGATAATTGTTTGCTTATGCTTATTTTAAATCTTGTTTGCAAATATATTTATACTCACTGCGACTTTAAAATACTATCGTTCATCTCTATCCAGCAGCTGTTTCTCAATCGATATCGATAGCCGCGATATTGATAGCACGTGTTGTGGCCGTCCGCATTTTATACAAATTATTAAATATTAGCCACAGTTTTGTTTAAAGTAAAATGGCTATGCTGGCAGAACCACGTCGTCGTAAACGGTACAACTTGTGCCCGCGCGGCAAAGCGCTGTACGAAGGTAAAGTATTCGGCAGTAAAACATGACAAAATTAACTAAATGAATGGCCATTTCGCAGATGATGCTCGTTTTGGTACCAAAATGCTTGAGAAAATGGGTTGGTCCAAGGGTAAAGGTCTTGGCGCCAACGAGGACGGCCAACAGGAGTTTGTTCGAGTTCGCTTGAAGAACGACGCTGAAGGATTGGGATTCGAGGCACGAGATGATCAGTGGACCGTTCATGAGGAGGGATTCAATGGACTCCTTAAATCCCTTAATGGTGGCGCTGATGAAACCAATGGTGCAAACGGAGCTGCCTCCGCATCTGAAGATGAAGCCAGACCGATGTTTGGATTTAAAGCCGCAGAACCAGAGGAGCCACTCAAAAAGAAGCTCAAAGAGAAGATCAGTGGCATATCGCTGGAGGAGGCGTCAAAGGCGAGCAAGGCGCGTGTGCACTATAAGAAATTCACACGGGGGAAGGATCTATCCCAGTA